ACAGGAGGAAAAAATGGCTCTCACTGGTTAATGAAGTGGGAATCATTCTTAAAACCACAGAAATGTGCTTTGGCACAGGAGAAGGGTTTTTATAACTATTGGGAACAGAACCTGCACTGACCAAAGATAAAAAACCAAGCTAAACTCTCTTGGAAAGCCTTCATAGGTTCTGGGAAAATATGACAGTTTACAGGGGCATAGAAGAGGCTCTGTCATTTTAAGATCTGTTACTTATACATGAACCAAAATTGACAAACCTTGTTTAAGTTATTTTGATAGATCCCATTCAGGCGGCTCACATAAGCATCACGCTTTTCTTTAATCACTCTGCAATAAAATGTAGTCACTGTCACTATATAAGCCTTTTCTCACTGCTAATAAGAATACACAGCAAAAAAAATGGCGGCTAGCTTTAAAATCCAACCTCATTAGATATGCAAACACATAAAGGTCATCGGATAAAGTCAATGAAAACGCTGCAGGGATGTGGAAGGTGACAGGAAGGGGGGTTCAGGGACATGGAAACAAACCACTATATAGTTGGTTATGTCATTAATGACAAGAGGTTTTCTTGAGCAAGGCCCAGAGCTTGCTGGCAGCTGACTCCCCATCCTGTATGGCACTGGCAAAGCTGGCCCATGGGCCCAGGCATTCCACACTGGCTATGAGGAACATGGAACCAAACTGCAAGCAACTGAGTAAGCCTTGTTCCTCCCTCAGTGCACCTAGGGCATTATAAGCGGACATGGTCTCAGAAATGAACTGCTTATACGTAAAGAAAATACAGTATTTACATAAAACGTATTGTGCTTTAAAAGGATAAGTGTAAACAAGATTTTGCCACCTGGAATACTGAATCTTAGACGTACCGCCAATTAAATTTCACATTGGGGGTTTCAAAGCCATAATCGGCATGATCATGGATGAATTCAAAGTGGACAGCTGTGTTCCACATCACCTGTCACAGAGGTAAAGAGAACAGTAATTCAGCACAGCATTAATGAAAAAAGCATCAATTGTGTCTATAAAAAGCGACAAAGAGTCCTGTGGCACCTTATAGACCAGGGGTCGGCAACCTTTCAGAAGTGGTGTGCCGAGACTTCATTTATTCAGTCTAATTTAAGGTTTCGCGTGCCAGTAAACATTTTAACGTTTTTAGAAGGTCTCTTTCTATAAGTCTATAATATATAACTAAACTATTGTTGTATGTAAAGTAAATAAGGTTTTAAAAATGTTTAAGAAGCTTCATTTAAAATTAAATTAAAATGCAGAGCCCCCCAGACAGGTGGCCAGGACCCGGCCAGTGTGAGTGTCACTGAAAATCAGCTTGCGTGCTGCCTTCGGCACACGTGCCATAGGTTGCCTACCCCTGTTATAGACTAACAGACGTATTGGAGCATAAGCTTTCGTGGGTGTCAATTGTGTCTAGTAATTCAAGATGGTTTAGGTGGAACAACTCAGTTCCATACATTACTATTTTAAATAGGCATTGTTTTATAAATAAGGGCGATGTTAGGCCTTAAAGATCCCAACGCCATGCAGCAGGAAGCTCCTGGAGGCTGTGTGTATGAGGCTGGCACAGTCTGCTCTGCAGGAGCAGGGCCACCACTGCACCATGCACTTGCCGTATTTAGGCCTACCTCTGCTTGCTGGTACAGAGGTGGGAGAGTTCCTAAGCCTACTCCTTCTCTTTGGGGAGACTTGCACCACTGTTTGAACAGCCCCGTGTTCACCTTGACTGCAAGGAGTCAATTGTGTCTGGCCCCTGTGCAGGGGCATGGGGGAAGGAGGCTCCTGGCACTATACTCCACCCTTTGTGTGCTCACATAGAGCTACACAATCTAAACCACAAAGATTTGGAGGGGATTGGGGAGAAGAAACCTCATATCTAAGGCTCTACTTAATTTCTGATATTGCGGATCCCGCAATATTAGGCTTCCACTGCAATTTGGCAGTGGGAGCCCCCGCTCTCAGCCCTGGGTGGCCGACAGCAGGAGCCCCCGCTGCCAACCCTTTGCCAAATTACCACAAATAATGTCATTACTTTGCCACGATTTTCCATGGATTGTCCGCAACTCAGCTGCAATTTTTTGACAATCATCTCGCGATTCAAGTAGAGCCTTACTCATATCTGTAGCACTAAGTTTATGTACACAGTAGTGTTAGGAAAAGTGGCCCTTTTTGATGTGTATCTCTTCATTTCTCATCAGACTTGAAATAGTACCATAGGAAAACAGCTTTTGTGAGACTAAGGAAAATACTAAAACAAATTCTGCTCACAGATACCCTGGTGTAACCTCACTAATGCCAATAGGTCTGCATCCATGGGCCTAAGAGCACAATTTGTCCTTTGGATATTCATTTTACCTGCATCCGAAGAAGTGGGCTGTAGCCCACGAAAGCTGATGCTCTAATAAATTTGTTAGTCTCTAAGGTGCCACAAGTACTCCTGTTCATTTTACCTAGAAACAGTCTAACCAGCCTATTCAGCCTTAGGCAAAAAAGCAAAATAAGGATTGTGGAATGGAGTATTTTTGCAAGTGCCCCTAACTGTAGCTGCACCCTGTTAAGTTTATCTACTCTCCCAACTTCCGTGTTATGAAGAATTGGATGCAGACACATGCATTTCAACACAAAGACAATATGAAAGAAGAAAAAAATCATCTACCTTTTTTGGTACACATCCAACATTCACCTAAGAGAGAAGAATATTAAGTCTACATTTGTCATTATGATAATAAAATCAATACTTAGAAAATGGTAAGTCCACTAACTAAAGCTTCCCAAAATTGATGCCAATTCCGCACCTTTCTCCCACCCCCTACAATGCAGAAATATCAAAATCATTTTGAGTTGGGCAAAGAGACATTCATGTTTGACACTTTAGTTCCTATTACCAAATTCAGAGGTTCCAATCCCACAGGGCTAACTCAGCCCTTCACCCTTCTAAGGTAAGTTAAAAAACATGTATCGTGCCCATTTTAAAGCTGTTGTCTTTCAATGGATTCTTAACAGGATTTCCTGTCTGCTCAGCAAGGATAGTAAAGATTGCATAGCACTTTTTATAAAGGAATACAAATATAGATCAGTGTCCTCAGCTAATACTTCCCCTCTCCCCACTACTGTGTAACTTTGGAGGGAGTGGCCAAGTGATCAGAGCACACAACTGGAAGCCAGCTTTGAGTTCTAATCTCAGTTGTCATTAGCTTTTTCAATTAACCCCTTTTGTGCCTCAGTTTCTCCAACTGTTAAAAATGTAATTATGCTAATATTGCTCTGATATCTTTCAAATGACTGTGTCAGCTTCTATGGGTTCACAACCTTCTGCCCTTGAAGCAAATTCATATTGAACACAAGACCAGTGAACTCACAAACACGTCTTTGGGGTGATAAGCAGTTGTACACAGAGCAATATACCCAGGTCCCAGTCTGACAGCCTAAAACAGCAAGATTCCACCTTGAGACAAAGGCAAGATGACAAACTGCTGAGGGGGTGCACTCAGAGGTCAGAAAAGGGGCAGACTCGCCTCAAACCAAGATACTTACCAAACAGACCTGTTTAAACCAATCACCATGAAGCCACTCCCTCCTTTACTTTCAGATTTATGCAACACTAGTTTGTTCACTCCTCAAAGTAGTTGTATTTCCTGTTTTAACTAGCTGCCAAGTGACATAAAATTCACCCTGACCTTATTTTTAGGAGTGGCAGAGGTATAGGAAATACTAGGAGCTCACAGGAGATTAAATGAGGATTTTTGCTTCCGGTTATTGGCCCTATAATACAAATGTATTCATACTTTTCATTAAAAGTTTTCTTCCTAAAGAGCTTCATCAAAACTTTGCAGCCTTTTTCCTGTCAATAGGCAAGCAAGTACACATACATTGCACAGATCTACCACCCTGTCTGTCTGAAGGAAAGGTACTTCAAAATACTTAAAACACTTTTTCAGGAGAATGTGAAAATAGAAGTGTATTAAAATGCCTACAGTTGCACCAAAACACAGCTCTGTACTCTGCTATATTCTCTTTGCTTTTGCTAGCATAAGAGATTATTTTGCGTGTGTACCGTTTTATCTGAAAAACACAAATCCTCTATTTTATCTACTGTGAACCAGATCCTCAGCTTGTATATACTGACTACACCAATTACGTCAATGAACAATCTGACCCTGTAAGTCAGAAATAAACTGATACTAACTAGCATTGTTTTAGTAACAACTTCTGGTGAAACCTGAGTTTGGTAATATTCCAATGAAGTTACACTAGCTTTCACAACAACACTGTAGCACCATCACCTTCTATGTAAAAAGCTCTATATTCAGGACTTGATTCTGTTCTTAGAAAGATCAGCAAATCTCTCTTAAATGTATGCTGATTTTACAAGATATGTTAAGATGGGCATCTCAAAGAGAGAGAGAAAAATCAGAGCCAATTTTTTTCTTAAAAATCCTACATCGTCTAATTAACTGGGGCAGCAGAGCAGAGTACATTGCTCAGGATGGGCCCCATCCCCTTTATAGGCATGTAAGGAACAATGACTATTGTGAAAATTCAGTAATACAGAACATCCACAAAGCCAGCTGTCCTCGTGAAGAAAGATGTGTGACCAATCTGAGTTGTGCAACACCTGACAATACCGCTTTGTCGACGTGCTGGCATTTTCTCTATTTGTGACAGTCGCTGCAGCTAAATAAAAGGGTTCAAACAAAGAGCTTAGAGCCTAGCAGGTACTGGCACCGCTAAACTGATGCCCACAGAGCAAGGGTGGCATCCTCCTGCCACTCGGTGCACACAAACCACATCTGTTCTTGGAGCTCACTGCCCTTCTACAAGGCTAGTTGAGTTCTGGAAAGAAAACCATAGCTGGCCCAGAGATCTGCCCCAGGTTTACTCATCAGAGCCCCTCTTTGCAGCATGTCGGCACCCTCACCTCCCCAAGCCACATCCATCCAGATACCCCACACCCTCCAGCCACATCCATACACACACATCCACACCCCCAGCCATGTTCATCCATCTACACCAGGGGTTCTCAAACTGGGGGTCGGGACCCCTCAGGGGGGTGCGAGGTTATTACATGGGGGGTCGCGAGCTATCACCCTCCACCCCAAGCCCTGCTTTGCCTCCAGCATTTATAATAGTGTTAAATATATAAAAAAGTGTTTTTAATGCATAAGGGGGGTCGCAATCAGAGGCTTGCTGTGTGAAAGGGGTCACCAGTACAAAAGTCTGAGAACCCCTGATCTATACACACACACACCATCCCCAGTCACATCCATCCACACACACCCCTACCCCCTCACCCCGCCCTCACCCCACCCCCAGCCACACACACCCCTACCCCCTCACCCGGCCCTCACCCCACTCCCAGCCACATCCATCCACACACACCCCTACCCCCTCACCGGGCCCTCACCCCACCCCAAGCCACATCCATCCACACACCCAGCTCCCTCACCTCCCCCTCACTCCCAGACACACCCATCCACACACACCCTGCCCCAGCTCCCCCACACCCTCATCCACATCCATCCACACACACCCTACCCCAGCTCCCCCACACCCCTTCCCAACTCCCCTGCCCCAGCCCCCGCACACCCCTTCCCCCCTCACCCTGCCCCACCCATCCCAGCCCCCCATACCCCTGCCCCAACCCCCCATCCTCACTGCCCCAGCCCCTGCCCCATCCACACACGCCCCAGCCCCCCACACGCAGCCCCGCCCCCCGCACTCACGCAGGTGCCCCCCAGGCGCTGATGCTCCACGACAGCCACGCGGGCCCCGAGCTCGGCCGCGCGCCGCGCGCTCGCCAGCCCGCCCGAGCCGCCTCCCAGCACCAGGTAGTCGAAGGCGGCGGCCATGGCTCGAGGCGGCAGGGAGCGGAGTGCGGGCATGGAGCGAGGGGGGGGGGGGGCGCTGCTGAGTCACGGTGACAGGGCGGGAGCGCGGGGCTGGGGGCGGAGCTCGTAGGGGGCGTGGCTTGGGAGGGCTCCCTGCTCAGGGAGGGAAGGGGCGGGGCTTCGAGGGAAGGGGCGGGGCGTGCTCGGGTGGGGGCGGGGCTCCGGCGGGAGGGGGCTCAGGGCCGAGTAGGGGGAGCCTAGCTGGAGCACGCTGGGCTAGGGGGACCAGACAGCAAGTGTGAAAAATCAGGATGGGGCCGGGGGGGTAATAGGAGCCCATCTTTACAAGCCCCAAATATCAGGACTGTCCCTATAAAATGGGGACATCTGGGCAGGGGGGGGGGGGGGTTCCCTTGATCGCACCGGAGGGGGGTGTTACGACCCCACAGGCTCAGGCCCGGCTTTTAAACAGTCTCTCAGAGCAACCCCCTCCCTTTTAAGGGTAAGTCACGTAGCCTCAGTGCCGCCTCCCCACCCTCCTGCTTCCCACGCTGGGTGACGCCAGGTGAGCTCAGCGCCTGGCAGAGACCTGTCCCCGCGCCAGGGACTCGTCCCGCCCGGCCCGGATGTGCAGTGACACCCAGGCAGCAGTTGCAGCAGAGAGTAGGATTTATTAGTCAGCTGGAGCACCGCAGGGGCAGGCCTTAGGTTGGCGCAGGAAAATCAAGGTTAAAGCATAGTGCGCGGTGGTCCAGCCGGAGCAGCTCGCCAGCCAGGCTGTACTGAACTACACCTTCAGGCTCTGGCTCTCTGACTTTTTTTAGGCAGTGCCAGCTTCTTACAGAAACCCACACGCGTCACACCTTGAGGTAGGGGGTCTCGGCTCAGCTTCCCAGCTGAGAGGCAGGGAATGCCTCCTCCCTCTGGGTCACTGGTTGGTAGGTGTCATTGTCAATGTTCCGGTGATGGAGGTTGTCCCTTGCCTTCTCACATTTTCCATTCAAGGGGGTCAACCTCTGCTAGTCTTTTTCAATGACCCATTCAGTCCACTCAGACAGTTAGAGGACATTCACACAGCTATGTAACTTACTCTGCCCTGAGAGCAAATCATCCTGTTTCCTCCACTGGGTAGCAACGTAAAGTATAGGGGGGAAACTGAGGCACACATCGGAGTAATACAAATATTACAAATTCTCACTTAGTGACAGGGCCATTTGTCATTGATCTCCACAGGGGGAAGGGAGGGGGATTCTCCGCTGATCTCAATGGGGGACATGACAAAGTAGGATTTTCTGGATATTTGAATGAAGCATGTGTACCTCAGTTTCCCTGTGTACTTTACATTGCTACCCAATTGGGGGGGAGGGTTAAGTCTGCACGGAGGGTAGCTCAGGATATGAGGTGTGGGTGTCACCTTCCTGTCTGGGGTGCAACAAATGGGATGTTGTGGAAGTGGCTGGAACCTGTTGAAAGTGACCCCATATGAATGCAGAATCCAAATGATACAATAGGAAGCCCCAGTGAGTAAGCGGTGACCAAGAGGAAGGTTTTCCCTGAACCTCTCAGTAGGGAAGCTGAGCAGAAAAGGCCTGAGATGCGACAGGCAGAAGATAAAGAGTGAGGGCTTGTCTACACTTGAAACACAACAGTGGCACTTCAGTGTAGACATTAGCTACACCAATGGGAGGGGTTCTCCCATCAGTACAGGCAAACCACCTCCCTGAGAGGTGGTAGCTAGGTTGAAGAAATAATTCTAGAGCAGGGGTTACATCAACTTAACTACGTCATTTCGGGTGTGGATTTTTCATGCCCCTGAGCAACATAGCTGGGTCAACCTAAATTTTAAGCATAGACCAGGCCTGGGCTGGGCTTCTGGACGAGGTTGACTCCCTCACCTGGGTCTGACAAAGGGGGTTAGAGAGAGACAGATTAAAAATGGAGTTCACTACCACTTGGGTGGGAGATTGCTCTGGCTTGACTAGATGGACTATGTCTTAACCCTTTTTTTTCCTCTGTGCTAACCTAAGGACTTCTGATGTTGTGTACCAGTTCACTAATAAACCATTGTGGGTAAAAACCTCACTTCTTCAGATGCATAGAGTGAAAGTTACAGATGCAGGCATTATATACTGACTGACACATGGAGAGCAGGGAGTTACTTCGCAAGTGGAGAACCAGTGTTGACAGGGCCAATTCAATCAGGGTGGATGTAGTCCACTCTCAATAATGGATGAGGAGGTGTCAATTCCAGGAGAGGAAAAGCTGCTTCTGTAATGAGCCAGCCACTCCCCGTCCCTATTCAAGCCCAGATTAATGGTGTTAAATTTGCAAATGAATTTTAGTTCTGCTGTTTCTCTTTGAAATCTGTTTCTGAAGTTTTTTTGTTCAATTATAGTGACTTTTAAATCTGTAATAGAATGACCAGGGAGATTGAAGTGTTCTTATGTATGTTACCATTCCTGATGTCCGATTTGTGTCCATTTATTCTTTTGCGAAGGGACTGTCCAGTTTGGCCAATGTACATGGCAGAGGGGCATTGCTGGCACATGATGGCATATATAACATTAGTAGGTGTGCAGGTGAATGAGCCCTGGATGGTGTGGCTGATGTGGTTGGGTC